ACAGTCTTATCTGTTATTATTATGTGATTTTTTTATAGAGAAAAAACATCAATTTCTATAGCAATTACCTCATTAATTATATAAACTTGAAAATATTTTCATTTTTTTAATCTATCAGTGTCACTTAAAATTGCATACATGACATCGGTCACATATAATTAACTTTATAAAAATAATAATTACAGTTTTTGGATCACGGAATACCAGAAAAACGGCTTTTTCGATAATTAATTGCTTATTCAATAAATACTCAATGGGTGCAGCATCTTAACTTTTTTTGTCTTTTTAAAGTAAAAAAAAATTAATTTAAATTTTATATTCAAATTAAATAATTATTTTTTACTTTGAATGGAATTTTTAATCATAGCGAGGTGGAGATAAATTTTATAGAATTTACTTTTCAAAAAAATTAGTGAAACTTGAAGAAAATAAATTTAAAGAATTGAGTTTTTTGTAGACGATTATATGCATTTTGTTTCTTCTATCACATATGTCTCTTTTGTGTAAGAATTCGTATATGAAGAAGCAGAAAAAAACTTTAGACTTTAACACATAAACATTAAATGTATTATAAATGCATTCATAACCAGTCCAGATAAAATATTTGCTGTACATTGACGCATCTAAACGCACGATGGTAATAGTGTCTAAATGCACGTTTTGTGTTCTGACTGTATTTAGACGCTATTTTAAGTTGTTTTTAGTCACGTTCAGACGCAGTTCTGTTTCAAGTTATGTTTGAAAGCAACTCTACCATTGTATCTGAGCTACATCCAGATTCATTCGTTTCTTCTACTTCTTATCGGTTTGTATCTCTAATAGGTTTACATGGAAACTAACTTTAAACTTCATGTTTGAATTAAAGTGAACATTTTTGCTTAATACTTAAATATTATTTATTTTGAAATTTAAATTACTACGTTTAACATATATGCTATACAAAAGCGAAATTGATTTCGTGAAAAAAAAGTGGTGGTAGTGACATGTAACAAAATGATATTGTTGTAATAGCGTTTCCGAATGAATGTTCTGTACATTTCAAAATTTGATAAGTGTACTCATTTATTTCTATTTCACAAATTAGCTAAGTCTTCATGACTTTATATGGTGAACACAAATATGATTAGATTTCTCGTATCCAACTATTTGTATTTATATTCTGTTTCATGTAATGCTAGCCAATGATATTTTAAATTGCAGATTATCAAGAAGGGTCCTTTTTAAGAATTCGAAACGCAGTAAGACTTGAATACGTCGTCTATATAATTAGCTATATAATTTTTATGCTTTTTTGAATAAAAAACGCGTAGTTCAGTTTACTGTTCGAGATCTAGTCACGTGTACTACGACGAAGTAATCTGCATTATTGATAGCACTATATGCACTTGCAGCTAGAAATGCCTTCAAATGCATCTTGTTTATACAAAACAGAAAAAGAAACTACATTTACATGCACGACTGGAACTCAAAAGCATTAGTTGCATATTGGGTAAGCGCGTTCGGATGCACAAGTAAAAGCAATTGTATTAAAACGCGTCTAAATTAATATTATTTCCAGTTATGAACGCATTCCGATGCAAAAACGAAACTGTTCGTGTTGAAACGCGTTTAAAAACTAATGTAAACCAGTTGTGATGCGTTTTAGTCACGAAACGCATCTGAACGCATGCACGACTTTGCAACGCATTCAAACACCCACATGATGAACGTATTTCAGTGTGCGTTTGGAGACTGTTTCAATTCGATACGCGTGTAAACGCGTCAAAAATGCGTTTTATGGTTACATAGGCGAATAGAGAACGTGCCACATTGTCGATTGATGTTAAATTCGCTATAAGTGTTCAAAAGTTATTCAAAATTTTTTGTCAATTCATCATTTCAAATAATTCGTGACACTGGTGATCGCTGTTCTATACCAACAAAATGAATTGAATTTACTAATAGTATACTTAAAATCATCAAAAAATATCCTAATTTAACTTATTTCAAAGATATTTTTGAACATAAACAAAACAATAAAATACGACAAGATATTCGAAATGATTTCGAACAATATTTGCCATCAATAAAAGCTCAACGGTTGCTCAATAGAGAAAAAGAAAATAGTAGCAATCACATATCACATTCATTTCAAATCGAACATAATAAAATTTTAAAAATTCTTGAATCCAATCTTGAACAAAAGATAGCAAAATATACAGTATGTGAGAATGTTTGTAACCTATCGTTTCCTTTAATGCAAGTACAAGTAGTAAATCGATTTCGTTCATACAAAGTGTTAGCTATTATAGCAGGTCAACGAAACCAACTGAATAAAATGGTTCGTGATAGTGAGACTGAACTTCAACAACTTGTGTACGATACAAAAGGCAGAAATCGTTATGTAGATAAGACTTCGGCAATCGATAAATTTGAGATCATGTCAAAAAATCGTTTTACTTGCATTGAAGCAGAATTCGATTCGGAAACTCAATAGAAACAATCGATTGATATGGTTTACCATTTCTATGATGTACTGATCCAATTTTCTTCATCAAGATTTTTTAATAACCTATACTGAATGTATGTCCAAAGCTTTTAATACTAGTCCCCTCACTCTGCAGTTGACAAACACGATTACACAGCTTGTTTTTCAGATCTACAGAGTTCGTATGTATTTCTCAACAATGATGAACTGGTAATCATGCTTTGCAGCAACAAAAGTAGAAGCACACGAGCTAGAAGTACATTGAGACAAGACTTACACCAAGATTTTCTTAGGAAATTAACAGTAAATGCCGAACGACTGTTCGAATATCGCACTGTTTCGATATATTAATTGAACACATAAGCGAAACCTTTCAATTAAAAATTAGCAATGAACTTCCGATTGAAATTATTCTTCTGCACTAAATGTATTTAATTTTTCTACACCAAAAAGTTTGAAAAGCATTCTATATATTTGTGCTGCACTATCGACTATTCTGTTCTACTATCATCGACAGAAGACTCGTTTTAATAGCATGCTCATGTCAATACACCAGAATAAGACCAAATGACAAGATCAGTTTCTTCGTATGGTTGTAGTTCAAGAGTCAGAGACATCTTTAGAACATGTATTGAAAATGAACTATACATACTAAATCAGTATTCTATCATGAGAGAGCTTAATGATGAAGTTTACAAATCTACAACCGATTGACTTATGCGCTGTGTTCTCCATTCAATTTAAATAATCATCGAACAATTTGATCAACGACGAGCTTATGCAGTTCAATCGAAGTGCCAAGAAATTATCAATAGCATGCAGAAATCGAATAATCGACTGAAAGATGTTTTGTTTTGTTCAATGAGAAGTACGTTCAAAACGTATCAAGACTTTTTTCTCAATAAAATCATCAGTCAAAAAACAAAGATAGAACAGGTCTTGCAAAGTTACATGAGTACTTTTGTTGAAAACCATTGTCGTAGTACACGAGAATGGTTACTTATTCAAATACGTAGTTGTGAAGCTCAGTACTCTTGCTGCAAGTGTTTGTCTGATATTGACGATCAGTTGAACAATGCTATGTCTGTAGGACGAGGAGAGAATAAGCATGAATACTAGTCTGGTCATTATCAAGGTCGAAATACGGGTGCATACTATATAAAGTGACCAAGGAAACATTGTCAGTATGGGGTGATATAATCAAATATAAAGATCTCATTCCAACACACCTACATCCACCAGCACATAGAACTAAATTGAATGGTTAATTCTCAGGTCAGGTCAACAATGCGATATTTTTTTATTTATTTGAAAAAGATTCTAACAAGCAAGAAAAAGGACAATGATACAACTTGTACTATATGTCCATAAGATGAATATCATTGATGAAAAATTCAGAAATAAAATTCAACAAATACTAAAGTATTGAAGAACGCTCAGTTTACTGATAAATCATTAAAAAAAGATTCAATTCAATGTGAAATTAGCATTAGGTCACCTTATGATCCACTTTTTCTGTCACCATGTATTCATTCTTAGTAGTTTAGAAATAGTTGATCAATACTCAAGTCCATTTTACAGATTTTGTTTCTATTCATGTAGCATAGAAATATGTTTTGATCTAGAATCAGCTACCAAATACGTGAAACTAAGATTATTTCTGAACAGAAGTGAAACTGAAGAAGATACAAAAAAGATATTGGCGTAGAAAAATACGGAAATTTTTTCAATTTCTCTATGAAATATACGTTTTTCTTTGTTTTATTTCTGAATAGTCAAACGTTAGATTGAAAAAAAGGACTGATGCATCTTCTATTCCGTTGCATTATCTCTGTTTTTAATCATACTGGAAAAAAAATTCATGCTTGATTCGATGGTAACTCAAGCAAGAGCGAACAAGGCATTGATTAATAATGAGAACAGCAGGCAGAAGCTTGTTGAATACTCTCATTATTCTATTAGATGAGCTTCTCTTACCATGTTCTCCTCGACGACTTCCAGCTGGTTGCATTGTATAGTTGAACAACGATTCTAGAAAGAAATCTACATGTGTGAATTCTTAGCAACGACATTAGTAGGAAAAAATAATGTCATATGACATAAAAACAGTAGAAAAATAAGAGAAAACGATAATCTTGATGTTCACTCCATTTTCTTTCTATATAAGATACAACATCGGTTTTGTATGTTCTAAACGGTCATAAGAATGAATAATACTGACATTGAACTATTCGAAAACAAAAAGTTTCTACTTCATCGTGTGAAATTTTCAATATTACTTTCACTACAAATTCCAGCCATTGCACTCTCTCTTCTCATATTTGCCTTTTTTATCAAACGTCGTACTGATCTTCGCGCTTCACATAATCAAGCTTTATTTATCTTGCTTTTGGTGAATTTCATCCAATTGTCATTTGCTTTACCACTTCCACTTCATTTCTATCAACTTAGTTATGTCAATCCAGCAACACCAACTTTCTGTACATGGTGGACTTTCTTTGAATTTACTCTCTATGTAACAAGTGAATATTTAATGGCAACAATTTCTGTTCAACGACACATGCTCATTTTTCATGGACATTTTCTACGAATCTCTTGGATGCGTATTGTTCTACATTATCTACCACTTCTTCTTTGTCTTATTTATCCTATGATGTTTTATTTTTTTGCTATTATTCTTTATCCATGCGATGGCACACAATGGGATTACACTAGTAATTTGTGTGGTTTTGCTGATTGTTATCTTCTTTTTAACAAAGTACTCGGCACATTTGACTGGTCATTCAACAATGGATTACCTATGGTTATAAATGCATTAGCCAATATAGCTTTAATTGTACGAGTAGTTCGACAAAAGCGTCGTTTTCAACATGCATTGACATGGCGACAACATCGACGTATGACAGTGCAATTACTTGCGATTTCGAGTCTTTATATCATTGCTTGGGCACCATCTCTCATTGTAGGACTCGTACA